TCAAAAAGTCGATAAAAAGCAACGTTTGTTCAAACACGGCGCAAGGAGCTATAGACGAAAGAGATCATATTAAATAGGGACGACTGACTTCTTTATCACAAAGAAAAATAGCTTTCAAAGTACCCACAATGCCGCTGGTTATATTCCTGATGTACGGTAGTTCAGCTAATAAAATAGAGCAGGTGCAGCTCACGGACACATACACAGTCTCAGTAAGCATGTTTAGGGAAAACCACGAACTCGTAAGCACCACCCGCCACCGTTGAGAAATCCTGAGCAGATTTAATGTTTCGTCCATGATGACGTCGCGCCGGCGTCTTCGGCGTATTTTTCGCTCGCTGGATGCATCTGAAGCCGGACGGAAGAAGAGGCGCGAGAAACAAAACCGGACAGCGGCCGTCATTCACCATCTCAGGACCCACAGTGCCATAATCCCGGTGCGAAGGCACAATATGCGGTGGGACGCTGACCCCGACTGCCAGGCTTTGCAGCGAGTAAGCCGACACCGGCCACCATCTCCTTGAATGCGCTGAACCAGCGCTGGCTGAACACGATGGCGCTAGAGCGGTGCTGAAGGCGGCCAACGCCGAACTGTGGTTCACCTGCTTAATCAAGGAAGAAACTGCGCGGATCAAAACAGACCAAGGGGCGAGCCCTCAAAGCCATGCTTACCTTCCTGAAGGAAATTGGTCCGCTCCAGACATCCGCGGCGGCGGCGGCGGTAACAAGCTAACCACCCACGAGCCGAGAGAAACTGGCTATACTGGCTTCCCCGGCTTACCTCTCTCTCCCACCGACCGCTGGAGACGCGACCCTGCATTCTCTCCCTAACGCCGGGCGGAGAGAGGCGCAGTGTGGGTTGGTTTTTAAGGACCGTCCCTTGTGGAGGAACGGGTTCCCGGAACGAGTCGATCCCGCGTCCATGTTCCTGGGAAACGCCCTGCTCTCGGCTCGTTATTTTCTATTATTTATTATTGCATGGATCTCGCCTCAAACGGAGGATTGCGTTCGCCTCACAAGGCCGCTCAGCCAACAGTGCTCTGCCCGCGGGTCGTAATTCTCGACATGGGGCGGTCGCCCCCAGTGGCCTCCTTGGTGGCCGAACACCCAGGCAGTGACGGACGAGTCCAGGAGCTCACTTGTATTTGATAGAAGAGCAGTAATAAAAATCTGACCGTACAAACATACCATCGGCATTTTGCAAATACTTATTTTTTTCCCGTCGCGAACAATAAACAGCTATGTCCTAACTCTGCGAAATGTGTTTTCTCCGCCTAAGCCGTGGCCCTACAGACATCTGAATAAGCCTGAAGGCTTTCCCGACTCCATTAGAAAGGATCTTGATAGGCTTTCAGACAATTCAAGGCAATGTAAAGGGCACTTCAGACATTCCAGGAGAGCCTCTGACGGGGCCAACGAACCCACCAGGAAACATCGGTGCCCCCTCCAAACATATAGAGAATTCCTTAAGTCCCCTTGACACCCTTTAAAAAATTCCTGAAGTCCCCTCAGAGCGATTTTCAATAGGGATAACAATTAAAAACGAACAAAGACAACCGGCAAATTGCTTCCGATCTCAGGGTCTACAAGATGTCGATTCATTACCTGCTCGCCAGCACTCTCTCTCTGCTTACAATTAAGGAATTAAAGGAAAGTGCCGCGGTTGAGAACAAGTACCGATGTATAAGTATACGTTATCAGTACGATTTGAGTACGATTATAGTATAGTCTGACAACAGTTCAAGTGCATGTGGTAGTTTTGTACTTTCAGTAACGCACCCTTTGTACTGCATGTACACATAGGTAGACTTTCAGTATGACTTTTAGTCAAAAATATTCACCTCCCATGTCGAATACTAAACATACTTCCATATATTAATATATGGGAAAGGTCGACATATAAGGAACTGCGTACACCCATATACGACGAAATATAGGAAAGCACGCCATAGAAGGGTTCACATATAGTGATATATAGCAATAATTGACACCATATATTGATATATCTGTCACCATACCTGGCCCTATATGGCGTCATTTTGCCATATATGCCACTATTTGCACCATTACATGGCAATATCCTGCATATATTTTATTTTACGAGTATATATGGACGTATGCACAATATATCTAGCCCAAATATGATATTTCAGTAAAGGCAACCACGCTCAATGTCACGTTTTGGACCTGAAGGTCATATCCTCAATGTCAAGTAAGCGCGGGTTCCATAAGCTTTGTTGGTGTAAGCACCGGCCGCGTAAGCACGTAAGCGTCGGCAGCTGAGGCTGACGGTACCTGACGTCCTTGACGTCACCTTCCACGTCGTCCTAGAGGTCGTTTTAGAAGTCGTCGAAGAGGTCGCTCTTGTTGTTCTCTAAGACGTCGAGGATGACGTCTCAGAGAACATTGTTCTCTAAGACGTCATCCTCGATGTCGTCCTAACTCCTAAACACTGTTTCATAGCGCAGCCCTTAGGTGCCTGTTTCCAGCTTTTGCGGCGTCGCCGTCAGTGTCGGCGTAACCGCGATAAACTTAGTGGGGAGAATTTACGTCACCTATGAACATATTCAGTTTCTCCGCTAGATTTCGAGTGAAAATTGACGTCTCGCGACAGCAGCAATTCAATTCCCCACTAAATTTAGCAGAAATATCAACGTCACGTGACCTCAACCCCAATTAAATTACCTGCTTAATTTAGCGGGACAAATGGCGTCAAATTAATTGGTGTCACGTCACCTATGAACAAAGTGTTTCTTCGGTAGATTTAGCGGGAAAATTGACGTCATGTTACCTCAACACAAATTCAATAGACCTACCTCACCAAGCGTTCGGCTCATGCGTGAAGCCGGCATAACTTCAGTTTGCAGGAGGCAGGCAGCAGTGTACAAGACGGCTCTTGACGCCTCATGCTCCACACGCGCAGAGCTCCAGTGAGGTTGTCACACGTGCAGAAAGACTAAAGCTCCCTCGATGCATTGTGGCAGTGGTGGCGTAGTCAAACTGGCTGGTGAGATGAGTCTATTCCCCACTAAATTTATCGGGAAAATTCATGACAGATGACCTCAACACCAATTCAGTTTCCCCGCTAAATTTAACGGAGAAAATGACATCAGATGACTGGCTGTCACATCACCTATGAACAAATTAATTTTAAAGCACAGCTCTTAGGCGCCCGTTTCCGGCTTGAGCAGCGTCGCCGTCGCCGTCGCCGTCGGCGTAACCAAGGTCGCCCCAAGGTCACCCCAAGGTCACGTGACCCCTACCAAGGTCACGTGACGCCTGAGGTCACGTGACCCCTTCCAAGGTCACGTAACACCCAAGGTCACGTGACCCCCCCAAGGTCACCACAAGGTCGCATGACCTCCAAGGTTACCCCCACGTAAACCCCCAAGGTCACGTGACCCCCAAGGTCACGTGACCCCCGAGGTCACGTGGCTTATTTTCCCGAGGTCACGTGACCTCCCCTCCCCCCCCCGAAGTCACGCGACACCCTCCCCCGAGGTCACGTGACCCCCAGAGCATATTAAAGAATGGGGGGAGGAGGAGAAGGAGGAAGAGAAGGAGGGGTTTACCCTCCCCTCAGTATCCTTCCCTCCTCCTCCTCAAGAGCTGCGCTCCAATTCAGCGTTACAGGGAGTTTTAAACGGCTTTCACTTGTAGAGCGCAGCTCTTAGGGGCCCGTTTCCAGCCTGAGCGTCGTCGGCGTCGCCGTCGCCGTCGGCGTAACCGGGGGGGGGTCCCGTGACCCCCCCTGAGGTCCCGTGACCCCCCCTGAGGTCACGTGACCCCCCCCTCGAGATCACGTGACCCCCGAAGTCACGTGATCCCCCGAGGTCACGTGACCCCACTCCCCCGAGATCACGGGACCCCCCCGGGGTCACCTGACTACCCGCGGGTGACGTGACCCCCCTCAGTACCCTTCCCTACTCCTCCTCAAGAGCTGCGCTCCAATTCGGCGTTACAGGGGTTTGTAAACGGCTTTCATTTTTTCCGCTAGATTTAGCGGGAAAATTGACGTTGCGTGCGGAGGAGGAGGACGGGAAGGTAGGGAGGAGGAGGAAAATAGGAGGAAGAAAGGAGGAGTAGGGGGAGTAGGAGGATGGAAGGGGAGGGGAAGGAGAGGAGGAGGATGGAAGGGGAGGGGAAGGAGAGGAGGAGGATGGGAGGGAGAGGATGAAACTAGGGGTGATCAGGAGCAGAGGAGGAGGTGAGGAGGACGGAAGGAGGAAAGGAAAAAAAACATACCCTCCCTCCCTCTGTACCCTCTCCTCCTCCCCTCCTCGTCCTCCCCCTTTCCTCCTAACGCTCCGCGATCCTTTTTTCAGCGGAACGGACGAGGAGAGGAGGAAGAGAAAAGCAGGAGGAGAAAATGATGAGGAGGAGAGGAGGAGGGGAGAAAGAGAAGGTGGAAGGGAGGATGATCAGAAGGAAAGGATGGGAGGACGAGAGGTAGAAGGGGGAAGGAGGAGGAACAGGGAGAGGGGCCTACCTCCCCTACACTCGCCTCCTCCTCAAAAGCTGTGCGTTAGTTTCGCATTACAAAGATGTGTAAAGGTCTTTCATTTGTTGAAGTCGTCCTCGACGTCGTCTCAAACGGTGTCCTTGAGGTCGTTCTAGAGGCCGTCATTGTCGTCGTCCTACAAGTTGTTCTAGAGGTCTTCCGAGAGGTCGTCCTAGACGACGGCCTTGACGCCGTCCTCGACGTCAGCCTAGATGACGTCTCTGACGCCGTCTCTGATGTGTGCGTGGTCTATTATAACCATTTTTTCACTGACATCGTTCTTGTAAAGCTATAGCATTTCATCTCGTCTAATAGAATGAATGTGCCTGTAATTTTCTTGTCAATCAAATTGTTAAATAAAATATTTTTATGGTATTTGATCGCCAGTTGACCCCTATATTTCTTGACGCTTAAATAGTTGAGAATATGACTTGACATTAACTGCCGGTATTTAGGATTTATTCTGTGAATCTGTCTTTTAAAATACTTTTCATTGCAGTGACGCCAGACATGAGAGCATGTGGTATTTGGCGTAAAAATATTGGTCATAATGTGCCAGAGGACGACGAATGCCAAGGGAACGCCACTCAAGTGTGTGGCTCTACGTGGCGTCCAATTTCGAGTCTTAACAAGTGCGGCAGGGTTCCAACTCCCGAGTGCAAATACTACCAAGACACGTGAAATTCGCTAATTATTGCACCCCGCTTTTAAAATCAACTCTCTGTTCAGGACGAGACAAATATCAGAATAATAAACGATTTTAGCAGCTCGCTCCTGAAACCTCTTTTCACTCCATCTCGTTTTTGTCTTTTGTTACAAAAGCTCGGCTACCCGCATAAAGACTGTTGAGCACAAAATGCGTTAGGCGAAAACCACGCCCTTCAGAGCGCAGCTGTTCCTCACGCACGTGCTTTTTCCGCAGTTACTATCAGAGTAGTGCGGAAAGGAAATTGTATCGCCTATTTCTTTGTGCAGATCGGTCTTTTCTTTTATAGCAGCAACTCCCAAAGAACAGTCTTTCGTCCGTAAACGCAAGAAAATGAACATTAGAACGAATAAATTTGGCCGAAATATTTAAGACTTCTTTTTTTTAGGAATGCGAAAGCATTCATATAGGTAGGTCATTCCTACAAGCAGCGCAGCTTGTCTTACTTTTTCACACAGCGCTCCAGTGATGATATCGCGCTCCCCCACTGCGCAGGCGCTGTGAACCTTGCCGGTTTCACGACGGCCTCCGTGACGAAGCATATGCGTTGCTGTGCTTTTCATTGTGTTTTATTTCTCAGGTGCGTGCTTGATGACGGGTTGGTGTGGCCATTTTCCGGGCGCAACGCCGCCGCTTTTTCGCGTAATGGGACAAATTAGCCGGAAGACTTATATTCGTCCCATTACGCATCCACCTTTTGAAGCATTGCAGAAGGTGGGCGGGAGCTTCCTGAACACACGTTTTTTGGTTTTGTAAACAGTTTTGTAAACGGTCGCACTTGCCTTTGAGAACACGTGGAAAGTTTCACAAAAGCGCAGCACCGCAGGAAGAAGGCACACCATGTCGCACGCAAGTCTCGCTGGTGTCGTGGAGTGATTAAAGCGTTCTTGACAAGGCGAAGTGCGGCGTCTCTGTCCCTTCGCATACTCCGATACCTATCAAGAATCGACGCCATGATAAAGCTTTGGAGGGGGGTTGCGCGCAAATGTCTTCGCGTCATATATCGCCCACGGGGTTTAGGATCGTCCAGCTGTTCCAACGTGTTGCTATCAATATAAAAAAAGAAATCAGTGGTTGCACTATTAACTATGGCTATGTTCCAAATCTACTAGAGTGGATCAAATGGCAGCACAGTATAGCAACGCTGGGTAGCAATGTAGGGTTTTTACGAACGCAATACTATGAAACCGTGAGAACGTATTTTTCTTTTAAACGCGGCCCATATGGTCGTGTGCAATACACTAAGGCGGGACACACTCACAATGGATGTCAAGCCAGAGCAATGACCAGTGATAAGGGGGTATTGTGGGATATTCGGTAATTCGTCTAATGACGAAAGAAAAACGTACAATCGGCCAGTATTAGCTTTGATTTGGATATAACGTAGCACTGGAGCGCGACCTCTAACGACATTTATTTCTTATGTCACACTAAAAAACGTCCTTTCAACTCTAAGCAAAGCGATCAACCCCCCCCCCCCCCCCCCCATGAAACAAAACACGCGAGGGCAATTTTCTTCTCTTAATCATTAAGGGAGGAAAAGTGATGTGTGTTCGTTTCTCTTTTGTGAAGATTCCGTCGGTGATGATGCCCAAAGCCAGAGGCGGCGGGTCGTCAGATCGCAGAGATGAAGGATTTCAAGACGGGACTCAACAGTTGGTGATGAGAAGGATGAATATATTTACAAGACAAAACAGTAGAAAGTTACATGACGCTTTGCATGGACCAAGAAGCCCTCCGGCCCCACTCCGGTCGCTTATATAAGTTCCCTCCATTCTCCCGCTTGTTCAACGACCAATTCCGAAAAGTATTTTAGCGGCCAATCAGAGAGAACACTGCTAAACAACAAAAACACTCTAAAAAGACTCATACAAAACACCTACCCACGCACACGCACACAGATGTCGGCCGCCTCATGGTCTCCTTCAACGACGTGAAGGTCAGACCCCCCGGGCCGCGAACCCGACTCCCGAAGGCACCACCAAGAAACCCTTGGTCAATGAGTCTCCACATCTGAGAAGGGAACGCCAAACAAAACACAAACACAAAACGTACACAGCGCGTCGGAAGCACAGCTGCCCGAGCGGTCCCTGTCCGAAATTACGAACGGGCGCACATTCTGAAGTGCGGGGGACGCGCCCCGCTCTCGTCCCCACTCCCATTCACAAGTCGCCGACGACCAGGCATGGGGAGAGCCCAGACTCTCGTCCTCTGTACCGCCACAAACACCCTTATGCTACCGGCCCTGCGCGACCGCATATTTCAAGATGGCCCACAGCAGGGCTACTGTACAGCATGCAACACCCTAGCGACGACGCAGCACGTTATCTGGGTGTGCCCCGAGCACGCTGCGGCTCGCTTCGAGGCCTTGGCTGACATCCCGGTGGCGGACCAACCTAACACCTTTGAGGACGGGGGATCCCACCAGACAAGCCGCCGCCTCCAGTGCGGCTCCTGTGGAATCAGCTCTGCAGCTTCTTCTACGCGGACGGTGGACCAGCGGGGCTCTTGCGCCGATGGCCATCGGTTACTGCAAACTCCCTTCAATAGTCCCATCGCACGGTCGCGCTTTGGAGCGTTTTGGCGACGTTTTGCAGCACCCATGGTGAAACGGCCGTCAGCCGCTCTTGGGCGCGGCTGTATGAATGTTATTAGTTTTTTTCTTGCCGCTGCGGATACTTTAAACCAAGAGCAGCCATGTCTGGCATTAAATAATGACGTTTTTCAACTCAACACAACAGATAACGAACCCACGCGGGACCCGCTTCTTAGAATCCTCCACACCTGCTCGTGTGGTCAGAAAGCCTCACAAATGCCCTTGCCTTTTTTTTTTTTATTTGAGCCATTAAGGCATAATGGTTCAAATCGCATCCTGACGTTCATACACCAAACTCATCATCACGAAGATTCAACCTAGAATGTTCTGGAGTTGGTTAGGAAGAGCCTGACTAGGTAAGGTCATTCGGGCCTCCTTATTTCTTACACCCAGGGTAATAAGCACGACACTTCTAAATGCACGAAGCAGCGTTTCTGCTCGGTCAGGCAAGCGGCAATATTCACGTGCAATTCGGCAACATTTAGAGAAATAAACTTGGTTTATGCAATAGTAAAAACCTACAATAACGGCTAAGCATATTTTACTTATATACTCGTACAATGCAGATAGATATGATAATTTTGATATATTTCGCGTCGTTTTATGTTATGTATTTCGCGGGTAGTCTACTAAACGTGTTTAGTAGGCGTGTTTTGTATTTTTTTCATAGATGTTTGTTATGGTAATTGTTTTAATATTCGGTGTACTTATAAACATTTCATAAAATAAATCGAAAACAAATTTACTACGTGCCTGCTTCGGTGTGAGATTGACGGCTGTGTGAAGTATCATAGCGAAACCTAGGAGATCTCTACGTCTCGAGCTTCTAAGTTTTTTTTTTTTATCTCCGGTAGAAAATGAGCTATGATGTTCGCATTAAGCTCAATGCTGCTCCTAAAAGCATGGCATTAACATAAATGTTTTATAAAAATATAAGATATATGACAGGACCAATACTGTACGATCTGACGTGGAAACACTGAACTTAATATTTATTTAAAATGTCCATAACAGGACTTTTCTCGTTACAAGTAACAGATAAAATAAAAAGGTGCGTGATTCTTACGTGGGTGCGGTTTTCACTCTGTATTTAACGAACTCGGGCGACGTGAGACGGGACAATATTAATCACGATCGGTCGGCTAATTAACTAAAATAGCCTTATGAACTTTCTAAGTGTTGATTTAGGATTCATGTTCTACTGGCGGTTTTAAAGCCAATCACTAATAACGGTCCGACCAATTTATATTCTTTGTGAAAAGTCAAAGATCTTTGAGATATTTAGCGACCTACGTTTATACATGCTTGTCGGCAATTAAAAAGTGCGCGCACGGAACGCACCGTGGAGTATCGCCTACCGCTTGCGCCACAGCCATCCAATCTCCTGGCCGTTTCATTGGCCGCTTCAGAGCAAGCAAGCATGCACACCGTTGTCCAACCGTGTCAACTGCTAGCCGAAACTTCCTGCCGCCAGGATTAAGATATTGCTTGCGCTACAAAAAAACAATTACACACTACCCAGCTGGTACGCTGAAAGTTTAAACATTGAATAAACTAACTCATAAAACTTCACTGCAAGAGCTACACCTCGTGGACAATACACAAACGTATGTTCAATGTAAACCTTGATGCACTGCGAGGCTGCTTTACCTCAGCCAGTTTAGAACACCTGCAGTTTCATTATTTTCAAGATATTATGCCTGAAGACTTGTGACAAATTTAACTGGGTTAAACTTTTTTAATCGACAGTCGGCCCAAATATTTAGGGAAGTATACGAGTGGGTTAATCTCTAACTTACCATAATTATTTCGTCATCCTGAAGGCGTCGCTTCAGGGTCCATTTTTCATTTTGTATCCAGCTCACCCTCACAGTTGCAACCACTCTGAAATATTTGCAAAGTTTCAGGCAGGGTAATTAAGTCTGCAGTTTCTCTCGAACACCACTGTCACAAATTTTGTCTTTTTTGTCATTTTGTTCTGTTTAAGGGTGGTTTGGGGGTAGGGCCAATTGCAATCCTCGCACATGTTTACCTGAGCGCCAAAGGTATGAGCTCGAATGAGACTATACTCCCTTTCATACTTAGGGTGCAACGCTGTCAAAGCTACTGGCGGGAGCGTGGGGCTTGATCTCGTTGATCATTTGCACGCCTTCTCGCGCAAGCAAAACCGTAGATGAAGCCACGCACTCGTGCCAGTAGCTTTGACAGCGTTGCACGCTAAGTATGAAAGAGTATAATGCCGGCCGAGCTTCAAACCAAGGGGAATAGGAAGACAAGAAGAAGGAAGTGGGACTTGGGGCGTTTCGGGTTGACCAACCACGAACCTGTGACAACCGCATAGGTCATTCAACACACGTCCCATACCGCTTAAACACCGTGTCGAGCTCCATTTTGAAGTCAGTCCCAATTCCAACGGTGTACGAATAGGGGCATCCATTTCGTGGCATGCTTTGAAATGAATCGAAGTGATGCAAGCTGGGAACACACTGCTGCTGCTTCATTTGGGAATAACTGCGGCCCTTGGCTTGATCACAACACAA